CCGACTGATGTGTGCAGATCTCCGCTGCGTGCTCTATCGCCCGCCCGCCACATATACGGCCGGCCCCACACGGGCCTGACAAATCTGTTTGACTCGGCGCGTCCGGCTGATGGGGTCCAAACCGCGGCCCCCGCCGACGCGCGCGCGCGCCTCACGCCTCCGCGTTTCTGCCGGTGTGCTGCTACACTACACCCGCCTGGTCGCGGCGGTCTGTCTATCTGCCCTCGTCCTCGCTCTGGCAATGATTCACTCGCTCACTCACTCACTCGCTCGCTCTCCGCGTGCTCTTACCCTCTCCCCCACCCTCCTCGTCGATCATGCGAAGCATATACATATTCACCGGCACGAAAGAAATGGACGTGCTATTTCTCTCTCTCTTCCTTGTTCTGTTTTGACAACACAACGCGCTATGTATACACTACGCTATGCGCGGCGCCGTGTACACTATGGGCGCGCGTCCGTCCGAATGCCTGATTGGGCGACTTGTGTCGAGCGTGGCGTGGCGTTGCGTGGCGCGAATCCTTGAGTCGGAGGCGCTACCGGTTTGATCGTGTATACGTCCGGCGCAGGCAGCTCCTCCAGCCCCCTTGTGTGCTGGGCACATCGTGGTGCTGGGCTAATGCGGCATGTGACCGCCGTCCTTCTTACACCAAGCTAAACTACAAGCCTAAACCAACAAACTGAGCCTTGCTCGACACAGTAACTTTTCATTTTGGCCGTTAAGTCGGTTCTTGTTGCGGCCGCCGGTACTACTCCACTCCATCTCCGCGGCCGCTGCGCGTTGCGCGCTTGCTTCCTGCTCGCTCCAGGGCTCGGCTCCAGGAGGGCTCGCGGCTCCAGGTTCCGCGCTCAAGTCCAGCGGGGGTGACGTAAGGAGCGCGCGGCTCGGCCTGGGGACAGGACAGGACAGGTGCCGGTGCCGTGCCGTGCCGGTAGCAGAGCAGGTAGGCGACTCGCCGCCGCCCCGCTGCTGTTTCGTGCCGTCTGGTACTTTCTTTCCCTCGACGCGCGGCGGCTCGGGGCTCGGGGCGGGGACGTCTCTGCCAATACTCTGGACGTCGGCCAAGGCCACCCTAGCTACACCTCAACAGCAGCGCGCGCGCCACACGGCGGCACGGGTGGGGCGGGGGTGGGACGCGAGCAGGAGCAGCAGGGCGCAGGGTGGTGTGGTGTTGGTGCTCGCAGGTGTGGCGGGTGCGGCCATACCCAACGGCCATACTACCGCGCGCCAACTTTATTTCAATGGCTTCGCCAGCGTCGCCAAGCAGGGCGGTGGCGTCGCCGGGAGGCAGGGGATGACGGCGAGCTTCGAGTCCTAACGGGAGCGGGCGTTGCTCGGCCTGGCGGCGTGGCGCGCGCGCTGCCCTGGCGGTGCGGCGCGGTGGTGTGGCTTTCGGATTACATAACCTAACTGCGCTGTGATAAGTTTGCGCCCAACTTGTTACTCAACGGCCCGCCGGTGGCCCGGCCCAGCGCCCGCCACGGTGCCGGGGGCAGTGGCTGCCCGTCGAGAGAGAGAGCGAGAGAGAAAGACGGACAAACGGACGGACAGAGGAGACGGGCGCCGCTGTCGAGTGGTCGCACACTTTGAGAGCGCGGTGGATGATGCTTCTGACCGGCGTCGTTCTCATCCTCTTCCAGCCTCCAGGCCTCTTGGAGGCGGGCACCGGCCGTGCGCACCGCGCGCGGGTGCCGCCGCCGCCGACGGCGTGGCAAGGTCACATCGGGGCTCCTGATTAGGGGAGAAAGGCTCGGTGGGGGCGGGGGCGGGGGAAGCCGAGGCGGAAGCTCAACAGTGTGGCCGTGGGCGACAGTGACACGCCATGGTACCCGCGCCTTCTCCCGCCGCGGGGCTGCCGCGATGCTGGTGCGGCGAGAGAGGGATGCTCCGGCGGAGCACTTGCCGTAGTGCGGCACGGCACGGCACGCCGCTCAACAGGGTTCGTTGACTGCGACCTCTTTTCCTTTCATCCCCTCTGTGTAAA